CACTTTTTTGGATTCTTAGGGTGGAGATCCCACTTCGAGTTTCCTTGGCAACTGGAGATAGAATATAAAATTCTTCCTCTTCAGTTTTGGGAGATAGAATATAAAATTCTTTCTCTCTTATTTTTAACACCATCCTTTAACACTATAATTCGTGCCTCACACGTACGGGGAATTTTATCCCGAATCCTAAGTAGGGATAAGTCAACACCTAACACGCGTTTTCGGTTTAGTCTTTTACCGATTAAAGAAGACACCAGAATACTAATCTGGGGTATTTTATCCCGAATCCTAAGAAGGGATAAGTCGACGCCTAACACGCGTTGCCGGGTAGTCTATTCCCGTGAGAAAGACGAAGTCACGTATTCAATATCATAGCACTAAAAGAGTTAACTCTTTTAGCACAACATTACATGCGGAACGGACTTAAACAATCCGCATACAAGCCCGATTCAAACGGTAATCGGTAAAGGCATGTCAAATCAGTTGATGACTGAGAATTTGCTAAAAATTCTGAGTCTGCATCTGATACATACGGCCAGGTAGTCTATTCCCGTGAGAAAGAAAAGTTTACGTATTCAATATCGTAGTACTAAAAAAGTTAACTCTTTTAGCATAACGTTACATGCGGAATGGACTTAAACAATTCGCATGCTAGTCCGACTCAAACGGTAGTCGGTAAAGGCTCATCAAACCCGTTGATGGCTGAGGATTTGCCAAAAATCCTATGAATATGAGAGTTATTGACGCATCAGCCTTATTAGTTGGTCTCGTGACTTGAGTATCCAACAACTTCGGGATAAGATCCATATCTGTAGACGAATCAGGTTTAACAGTTGGTCCTATAGCCCTAACTGTTGGAACCACCATGCTCCAATACCTTAAGAGCTTAAACTGTGTATACTCCAGCAAATGTACGAGTATAAACTATATTAATGACGGGCGATCCGAAACCCTAGGTTAACGCCGGTCAACACCAGTCAACACGTTACGATGAAAAAGTCAACGTCGGACGATCCGAAACCCTAGGTTAACGCCAGTCAACGCGTAACCATAAGTCAATGCCAGTCAACACGTTACAATAAAAAAAGTCAACGTTAGGCGATCCGAAACCCTAGGTCAACGCCGGTCAATGCGTAACCCTAGGTCAACGCCAGTCGACGTGTTGTGATAAAAAAGTCAACGTTGGGTGATCTGAAACCCTAGGTCAACGCCGGTTAACGCATAACCCTAGGTCAACGCCAGTCAACGCGTTGCGATGAAAGTCAATACGAGTCAATATATCGTGATGGAGATAGTCAGTTCAAAGTTAACTCAACGATATGAGCCATAATCAACTCACCGGTTTTGATTCAAGATTTCGACGATGGCCAGACGATAAACGCAGCGCCGAGAGAACTTCAGCTATTCGTCAAAACATCGAATAGATTGAAAATCGAAGGAGTCTTGAATCAAAGCTAACAACAGGTCCTTTTACACTGACTGAAGGTTGGACGGATCATATCCAAAGTATTTTAGGCTCATCTATAAAAGAAACAAGACTGAAACACTTTGGAGGAGGTATCTGTAGCGTCAAAAATTACCTATAGGTCTCCGCACACGGCTCGAGACAGAGAGAAGATGATGAACATTGCTATTAAAGTTACAGAAGCTCATTGGATAATGACAAACATATGAAGTGAGTCGACGGACCATACAAAGCAACAGAGCTTTGGAATAACGGAAACAAGAGCTGATCGGTAGCCCCGCGTCGCTTATGAAAGGCGGAGTACCACTCGTGTCCTATTTACTCTACATATGATTCAATCATGGGAGCCTATAGGTCTCCTCTTCGGCTTTCCAACGCATCTTGAACCACGTAATTCCGAGTCCGGACGACGAATTTACGGTAGAAACAAACTCGACGTGCCAAAACTAAAAAGCCAAACCGAGACACCCTGGGGTGTCTTGGCTTGGCCAAGACACTTACAAGTGTCTCGGCCAAGCCCAGAGAGTTGTTTTTCAATCGTTAACCGTCTGGATTTGTTCCAACTGATCTGATAATGTGGTTAAGTGGTTTTAACTGAAGATAAGAGGGAATCAATTGTTCCTATCCAAGGACAGAGCTCCTGAAGCCTATAAATACAGTCTCAGAGCCTTTATTTTTTCAGATCTGGAATTCTCGAGCGTCGGCGAGGCCCTGCCGAATTGAGGACTGAAGAGCCACGAATTTCAAAGAGGAGGAGGAGAGATCAGATCGAGTTCGTCATCATAAAGAAGAGAAGCTTGTCAGATCTACACTTCCCGGTTCCTTCCTTGAGATCGCCCCATTGCGGTGATCTCAAGAAGAGTGGTTATCTCTCCGTTGCGAGATAACTGCTTCGGTTTCTTGATTCCTTCGCGAATCAACAAAGCTCCGGATCTGATCTGATTGTTTGGTGGTCCACGGATATCAACGTCCCCGTCACAGGCTAAGATCCCATGCAAGCAGCGAGCGATAAACACCCGTTGCGTTTATTTGAAGAGAGTTGTATTTTTTTTGTTTCCATTCTGTAAGAAAGTCTTATAAAAAGACTAATTTTACTTTGAATATGTAATTGATAAACGTGTAATAGACTCAACAATGAAGATATCAACTTTCACCGCAAACATCTATAAATAGCACAGATGCATCTTTATGGATGGCAATAATGCAGGAAGAAATTGAAGCTCTCCACAAGAATAAGACTTGGGTACTTGTGTCACTACCACAATGAAAAAAGACCATTGGCAATAAATGAGTCGACAAAATCAAACAAAATGGCGATGATCAAGTGGAGCGATATTGTGCTAGATTGATGGTAAAAGGATATGCTCAGAAAGAAGGTATTGACTTTAATGAAATATTTTCTCCTGTAGTTCGACTTACAACAGTCCTAATAGTCCTGGATATGAGCGCTATATTTGACTTACATCTAGAGCAGCTAGATGTGAAAACATCATTTCTTCATGAAGATCTTGAAGAAAAAATTTATATGCTCCAACCAGAAGGTTTTGAAAAAAAAGGAAAAGAGAACTTGGTCTGCAGATTGAACAAATCTCTGTACGGCCTAAAGCATGCGCCGAGCTGTTGGTATAAGAGATTTGATTCATTCATCATGAGCTTTGGATACAACATACTTAATTCAGACCCTTGTGCATATTTCAAGAGGTTTGGTAAAAATAACTTTGTTATCTTATTGTTGTACGTTGACAACATGTTGGTTGCATGCCCCAACAAAGATCGTATCAAAGAATTAAAGGCTCAGTTGGTTAGGGAATTTGAAATGAAGGAATTAGGATTTGCAAACAAGATTCCAGGGATGCAAATTTACCGAGACAAAATTAATAAAAAGATTTGGCTTTCTCAGAAGAATTACTTGAACAAAATCTTACGGCGTTTTAACATGTAAGATTGTAAGTTAATTTCTACCCCACTTCTTATTAATTTCAAGTTATCCTCCAGTATGAGTCCTAGCAGTGAAGAAGAGAGGATGGAGATGTCTCGAGTACCGTATGCATCAGCAGTGAGAAGCACAAGACCAGATATTGCACAAGCAGTGGGAGTAATTAGTCGATACATGGCGAATCCTGATAAAGAGTATTAGAATGCTGTAAAGAGGGTCCTAAGATACATTAATGGAACCTCAAATGTTGCATTATGTTATGGGAGATATGATTTTATTGTCAGTGGATATGTTGATTCTGATTATGCAGGTGATCGTGATAATAGCAAATCCACCACAGGCTATGTGTTTGCACTTGCTGACGGAGCTGTAAGCTGGGTTTTAAAACTACAGTCAGTTGTGACTACTTCAACAACAGAAGCGAAAAAAAAAAAAAAGCCAGTAAAGAAGCGTTGTGGTTGAAGATGGTGTTGGAGGAACTCAGTTATGAACAAAAGAAGATATCTTTATTTTGTGACAATCAGAGTACTTTGCATTTGACAAGAAACCCAGTATTTCATTCAAAGACCAAATACATTCGAGTTCAGTACCACTTCGTTCGTGAGAAAGTAGAAGAATGAACAATGGATATGCAGAAAATTCACACCAAAGACAACCTAGCAGACTTTTTGACAAAAGCAGTCTATACCGATAATTTATTTGGTGTCGATCCTCATGTGGTCTGTCGGAGACGTAAGCAACATGAAGATAGCAAGATAGAAAGAATGGTGTGAATATATGATTGATGTTCATTCAAATCTTCAAGTGGGAGATTGTCAGCAGCCTTCTTTAAAAATGAAAGAAGACGGTGCCGAAAAAATCAAAAGAATGGGCCCCACAACATTTTATTCAAAAAGTTTGGTAGTGTTTGAAATTGTTAAAGTTGCACAGTAAACATATTATTATTTTATTGTGCATAGTATTTTTCTAAACACTATAAATAGGTCCTAAACTCTTAAGGAAAAACTCATCCCAGAAACAACTTCTTATTTAGAAGAGTGAGAGAGAAAAAATATAGAGAGTTTCTCCTTGTAAAGAGAGAGAGATTGTAACTCCAGAGTTTTCTCCTCATAGTAGATTATTCTATCCTTGCCCGTGGATGTAGGGAATTTTGTGTCGAACCACGTAAATCTGTGTGTCTATCTTTTTATCTCTATTTTCACTACTATTGCTGCGATCCTGCTCTATTGGCTCCGGGTTTGTCCCAACACAATGAGCATCAAGTCTTGTTTTGGTTCGTTTCCGAGCTTAATTAGGGCCACCTGATTCGGTTTTTGGGATTAATAGGCAGGTTAGTTTTGGAAATCCAGTTACTCACAGTTCATGTCCGACGTGGCTGCATTAGCTACCGACTTCATACATCACAACCCTAAGACCCAGTTTATTTGTATTTTTTTACCTTGGAAAGCCTGCCACATTTCTGGAAAATGTCCAGAAATGTGGGCAGCTTCTTGCAAAATCGCCCAAAATATTTGGGGCCCGATTTTGCAAGAAGCTGCCCACATTTCTGACATTTTTCAGAAATGTAGTAGCTTTCAAGGGGGAAAAAATACAACCAAACGGGCCCTAACAACCCCTCTCCCACGCTCCCTTTAAAAAATTCTTTTAATTTTGCAGTTAACCCCCTCCTAACAACTACAAGTTTGCAGCGATGGCGGGCCGAGGGCGGTCGAGGCCGAACCTTCTAGTGACGGGGACGCCGGGGACAGGGAAGACGACCACGTGCTCTCTGCTGGCCGACGCCACCGAGCTCCGCCACATCAACGTCGGCGATCTCGTCAGGACCAAGGGACTCCACGATGGATGGGACGAGGAGTTCGAGTGCCACGTCATCAACGAGGATTTGGTTAGTCTTCTGTTCTCTCTTAGCCTTAACCCCTAAACCCTAATTCTCAAGCCCTAGGTTTTGCTTTGCTTTTTATTTTTTGGGTTTGTTTGTGGAGAAATTGAAGGTTGAAGGGGGTGTTCTTGGGGATAAATTCATCAACCCTAACCTGTCACTGTAGTAAAGCAGTCAAATTTCAGTTATATTCATTAACCCTAACCGTGGGTTAGCTCAAAACAATTAAAAGGGAAAATGCGTGCTAGAATGCTGTGACTCAAAGAAAATTGAGCTTTTGCACTATATTTCTATAGAAAGGTGAAGAATGTGATACGGGCATTGCTGAATTTTCTTTCAAGGGGTTAATTGTGAAGTCCTTATTTAACTATTCCCACCTTGAAGACATAGTATTCAAGACTGGCATTAAATGACAAAAGCTGAGCAATTTTGCTTCCTGCTCTCTTATTGTCCCCATCCTTTTATCTTTTACCAGTATATAGCACGTGCGTTGCACAATGACGTACTTGTTTTATGTGTTGATTCCCCCCCTGAATGAGAATGGATGAATGGTAACCTAATTCCTTATTTCGAAGGCCGAGCATGAAATAGAATTGTAGTTAAATCACGACATTTTCTTTTTTGTTTCATCATCCATCTGTCCATTTGTTGTTTGAAAAATTGAGACATGATTGCAAAAAAAAAAACATCGATTGTTAAGTATTTAAAAGAAGTCTTGAATATTTACATACAAAAGCATGTAAATACAAAGTGAAAGGGCCCAAAAAATTTATTGAACCAATGAACAATACTTGAACTTGATTTCTAGCATTGACTTAGAAATTAGAATGTAAAATATGTGGAATGCATGACATTGCAAAGTTTATCTTATAATCTTATAAGTTGTTTGAGTTATAAAAATGATAGCAAAAGCATTGCTTTCTAAATTTAAGATGTTTAAATATAAACTTATGAAGTTTTATTTAATAAATGATGGTCTTAGACATATTCGTAGCATATAAAAATTTAGGCGAGACAATAACTTTATTGAGATAGTTAATGAAAAAATATAATGTAGCAATAAGCAAATATTTAATATGTGGTAAAATAAGTAGTGTGCCTTTGCTAAATATATAAGTAGTGTACCTTTGCTAAATATATATAGTAATATTTAATAATGTGGTAAAATAAGTAGTGTACCTTTGCTAAATATATAAGTAGTGTGCCTTTGCTAAATATATATAGTATAAAGATCAAACACATTTAAATCAGTATTAGGGTATTTCTTTTGAAAGGTTATGGTAACATCTCAATTCTTTTTTGAGTTCAGCTTGGGCTGTCTTGATTTTTCTCGTTATATGTTAAACTTAATCGGAAGATTTAAATTGGTATTAGAATATTTCTTTTGAAAGCTTATAGTTACATCTCGATTCATTTTTTAGCTCGGTTAAGGCTAGCTCGATTTTTCTTGTTATGTTTTAAACTTACTCAAATTTAATTAGTTTTAAATTTCTAGTTCGAATTCTCAAGTCCTGCTTGGTAACACTTGGAAGAGTGCAGTTGACCCGTTGCTCACTTTACTTTTGTGAACTTGTTTAAGATCCTTGATTAATAAAATTCTAAAAATATTTTTTCGCTTAATTATTAGAAGGGAGAAGTATTTTAACTTGTTTAAGATCCTTGATTAATAAAATTCTAAAAATATTTTTTCACTTAGTTATAGAAGGAAGAAGTATTTTAACTCTCATTTGGAGAATGCCCTTATCTTTTTTGGTATTTCTTAATTTCACTGTAAGTATTGCCTATAACTTATATAATACTGATAATATATATAGTTGTATAAAGGATCAAAATGTTTTTCAAAGGTGTCAAGCAATAATTTCCATATTAGTTACTTTAATATATATTATGAATTAATATACACAAAATCTATTTGAACTGAACATGTGCGAGAAAACCTTGCTCGAGTTTAGCTCATTTGTAAGTTTGACTGAGCCAAAATTAAGCTAAATATTGAGCCCACCACAAACTGTATGTATGTCAACTTGAATTTTCCAGTATCAATATTGCAAAAGTTTTATTGTGCATCTGAAGTAAATTTTATTTCTTCACATCTGTCGTTATAATTGAGAATTTGTTTCTAATTAGTTAGGTGCTTGTTGATATACGAATTGGGATTTGCTTACAGAAATGTGAATCTCTAGAATCTTTATTTCTAACATTGATAACTTTGATATTCGTAGGGGAAAAAAGTGCTCTTAGGTTGCTCAAGCTTGCTTGCCATTATAGCAACATTTCAATTAAGAAATAATTATATTGTTCTTCTGAGAGAGGAATGAATGGAAGATAGATCATAGATTTGATATATCAAAACATATAATTACAGTTTACATACACTATTTGCTCTTAAGCATAACTCATATTTGATATTTTAGTTTCAAAACATAAAATTATAGTATACATACACTATGTGCTTTTAAGCGTAACTCGTCTATAAATTTTGGGTTTCAAGACAAAAAAAACTCAATATTTTATTAACATCATTCCATTAACTTTTCTCTCTACCTGAAGCAAAGCAAAAACACTTAAATTATCTAAATCTCAATCTCTTCCACCACTAATTTCTCACTGGCTAGAGTACCAACATCTGCCGGTTGGGCCGTTACCTCCAACGTCGTCTCAACATCACAAAAACCCATGAGAATATCCCCATGCACAGCTGTAAATCGAATAGAGCATCAACGGTCGAACCCTAATGCATAAATATATAATACAAACAACCCATTAGTAGTCATGCCGTTGCGGTGCAAAATAGATTTTTTTTTTCATGGTAGACAAGAGATTGGTGAGGGGGCAAGAGTGACGAGCTATATTTTAGATTGATTTTTTGACAGTTAAGAGATGGAGGAGAGGAAAAAATTTTGAATTAAGAGCACACTTTATTAGTAATTATATGACATTAATCGAAGGAAATGCTTAACCGTGGGAGTCTAAAGGACTATGAGAAAAGTTTACTACACTAACCTTATCTAATACAAAAAGATATGCATGTAGGTTATGTATAAAAATGATTAAATGAATAAATTCAACTTTTATTATAATTGAATGGATGAGAATTTAAATGATGAGTATTTGGTCATTTTACATTCAATTTTGTTTCAGGAGGGCTATTTTATAAATACTACATGACCTCTAGTCATTGTAACTGTAAGAGGAGAAAATTAATTGTAATTAAAAAAATTTAGGGAGAAAATTAATTGTAATTGAGAATTTTAGGGAGAAAAATGACGTGATGGCATTGATATAATCCGTTTAAGCGTTAGAAGTTGAATGGATCATGAAATGATCATTTTTGTAACTATGTACTACTCATTTTGTAACCACATGTATGCATGTGTTTTAATCATTTAATATTTAATATGTATGTCATCAATTAACACAAAATTGCATCTATATCCATAATAAATAAAAGCATTTTTATAATATAATTGTACGTACAAACATAAATTGGAGGGCATTATGGGGAAAAGGTTTGGACACCTTTTACACTTTTAGAATAGTATTAGGTAAGGCTTTTTTCCCTTCATTTAATCATGTTTGTGCTATGAATAAGAGTTAATTATTTTTACAAATTTTTCATGTCCTGTATCCTACATTTTACAAATTTATTGTGTCCCGTGTCCGCACCCATACCATGCTACCTAGGGTATATGGAACATAACCTTTTAACATGTTGAGTTAATTAACCCACGAATTAGCCTTTATCTCTCTCAAGTAAAGGGAGGGAGGCCCCTCCCTCCTATCGCCTCTCTCTGGCTTTTCGAGTTTAGGAAAATGAGCCAATGAGGTACCCTAATTTCGTTAGAAAGTTAACAAAAATTAAGTTTTTGGTAGACATATGGGTTTTGAGATATTTTTTTGGACAAATATGATAATAGAGCTAATTTTAGGAGTATACTAAATATGAGAGGTAGATAGGTGATAACCTTATTTTTTAGGATATACCATATATGAAAATTTGTACTATGTCCTATCCATATCCATATCTTAATTAGCCCTGGTGCTATTGTATTATGCATTAGAAACAACATGTTATATGTAGTTGCTTTTTGTTGTGTGCATGTTGCATTACCCTAACTTTCACTTTGATCTTAACACTATTTGTAAATTTGTCTTTTATTAAAATACATTACATCCGTCCAATTCAAATCTAAACCTATTCTACTTAACATACTTCGGACTTGTTCTGCTTGATAAATAGGCAACATTTATCAGGCTTCAGGTTGGGTTACCTAGATAAGAGGTTAGGTTCAGCTAAGTCTTACTAACCTATTTGATAAACAGATGTGGTTCCAGTTAGAATTATGTATATCTACTCAAAAGGATAATCTTCAGTCAATCCGATCTGAGTGGACCAATTTCCACTCATGTGTATGTGCTCATTGCAGGCATTTGGGCCAACCACTAAGGAAGAAGAGGAAAGATATTGATCCTCAGAAGTTATCTGAGTCAACATTAGAATGCCCAAGCATTTTTCTATTCAAATTCCAACCTTAGTAGTGGGTTAGTGATTAGTCTTCCCATTAACTGGTACATAACAATAACTGATCAGCACCTCTTGAGAGCTTGCTTTAACAAGCAATTCCGACCGTTGTTATCATATAAGGCTAGCTTATTTTGAGGTCCTTCTTTGATTTTAACAAATTATTGCTTGAATTGATAGTGTGCCTGGGGAGTTTTCTATTTTAGCTTCTACTGATTTGCGTCATGTTATGAATTCCATTCTGCTGGAGTCTACTGCAGTCTATGTTTCTCAACCATTTAACCTACTGTTTGAACAACTCAAATCTTAAAGGGTTTCTCTTTCAGTTTTAGTATGTATTTGTTATATTTATAAAGGTCCTTCTCATATGCAGCCTGATTGTCCGTTGTGTGAATTATTGCACTAGTAATTCTGGTAATTACTAGCTGTATCATTATTAAACTGAAGCTCCATTCCAAGACGTGCCAACACCTTTATATGTGTTTTATTGTGATCTTCTATTGTCCAAAAAATGATTAATATATTCACGACTTTATATCTTGTTGCTAATTTTTCTTTTTTCCTTTTTTTAGGTATGTGATGAGTTGGAAGACATAATGGTAGGGGGAGGTATCATTGTAGACTATCACGGATGTGATTTCTTCCCTGAGTGTTGGTTTGACCTTGTGGTGGTCCTCCAGACTGACAATTCTATCTTGCATGACCGCTTGACAAGCAGGTGACAATAATTCGCCCTAACCAAAATCTTACTACAGCTCTTAAGTGATCTAACTACAACCTTTCTCTTCATGATTTGTAGCAAAACTTACAAATGAAAGCAACAACGATGAACTCTACTACATCAATCATTCAATTCCTCGAATCAAACCCATTATAGAAAAAATACAACTTACTATCATCTAATATCTATCTATAAGAAAAGCCATGGATTGACTGCTACAGCAAGCAAGAATCTCAAATATATAGCTATTACATAAATAAAAAAAGTAATTGTACCTATACTACATCTTAACACGTTGCAAACTAGCTAAAAGAAGATAACTTAGAGCTGAATTTAACCCATTACTGGAGTTGAAAACCTAGAAAGGACAGGCCTAAGTGAAAGAGGAAAATAAAAATAGCAGCTACACTTTTGCTCTCTCATCATAATGAAACCTGAGCCCTCACAAGTGCTTAAGTAAGCCCTTGTAATCAAGTTGGGTTGGGTGATGCAAAGCAGGTTAGGCAGAGAAAGCTAATTGGATATGAATCGGGGATAAGTGACTAGGCGTGCATCATGATTCCCATATGCTTTTATGCTAGATATTTTGTAGGTATAATTTGTTAAGTTTCGTGTCTGGATTATTTAGGTAGATTATACTGTACCTTTATATGGTTGTCGTTTGGTAGAACTAGAAGATATATTTCTGCTTTCTTATGTTGGTGTTTTGGCAAGTATCTCAGTCATAAAGTTTTATAACACCAAGAAAATAGATAAATATTCAAAGTGTAACTTTTGAAGAGCAGTGATACTAAACTAGACATTCTAAACTACTTTTATACTACAACAATAAAAAATGTGGGGTGGTCCTTCCTTGTAAATTGCTACCAAGATTTATCAGTCAATAAGAACCGCATATTATTGTTATTGTAGTGCAAATGTAATATAGGATTTATCGTACACTTAGCAGTACCCATCTTTAGATATCACAGATATATGGATGGTTTAGCTTATGAAGGATCTAAAGTTTTGAATTTCATCTATCCTGTATATATCCACTTATTTCAATTAGTAGATTCCGATTGGAAAACATGCACAACTAGCCGAGTGGTATGTTTCTTATATCTATAACATGTCTAATTTGAGCAAAAAGTTACATGCATTGCCTAAATATTCATCATAAGCAAAATCAAAGTAAAACTTAACATCATAATTTGCATTAATAGTTAACTGTTTGTCATTTTTTTAAACCAATTCCAGACCTAGTCAACTCTTTATCATATTCTATGAAATTGTGAGAAATTAACATTATGTGATACAAATCAATTTTACACACAATCTCATATCCTTGAATCCTAGATAACAAAACTTAAAAATAGATGAGTTTCTGTTTACCAGCCTGAGGGGCTTTTCGCTCAACAAGCACTAAAATTAGCTATTTATTATATGGGCAAATGTGAGATTTGGGAAATGCAAAGTGCCTACATCTTTTGGATGAACAAAACAATTTCTCTATCTGAAATAAACAATTACTGTAGCTAAATAGCCTATAACAATTTGTCATTCACCAAAATTACTAAATATGCACGTAAGCAGCTACATATACTTTCATATAGGGCAAAACTGTCTGCAAAATAAATTTTCTTCAATGGTGTCTCAGGAACAAAGTATATTGATATAATGCTAGTAAATCCTTTAATGTTCTTGCAATTTTCTCAAATTCTCAAGTGAAACAAGAAAGGGCATATTAATAAGAAACAATGCATTAAATATGATGCAATTAGTTCCAAATTACTTAACTAGAGTATCATATCATAACTTAATACATTAAAGATGATGATTAATTAAGAGAAAATTTCTAAAGAAAGGAGCCAAAAAATGAAAAAAATCGATACTCTTAACTAAATCAAGGCTACAGTTAAGGAAAAGAGAAATTGACAGAGATATAAGTAATCAAGATGAAAGAAAGGGGGAAACAAAGTATAAAGAGAATTCACAGTTGTCAATGATCGTCATTGTCACTGGAGGGGAGATTATGGCTTGAGAGTCGATTGATTGGGGGAGGGGATGAATTAGGGTTGGGGTATCACCAGGACATTGATAGAGATGTAGGGAGGAGAGGGAGAGAGGGTCAAGAGAATTGAGAGGATCATTGTTGGTAATGGGAATGGGAAATGACGCATATATGAGTGTCCTTTGCAACTTGAAGCTTAGTGCTGTGTTAAATCCCAAGTGAAATTAGGTTAAATTCAAATTCTAAAATTCTTTTGTATCTAAGCATTAGAATTGGCCCAATTTTATAATTTGAAATCAAATTCCTCTATCCAAACAGATTATAAGGTTCTTTTAATTTAGCAAGAGTTGCAAGAATATGCAAAAATCGGGTCATTATTACCAATGCTAACTTTCTAAGTTTGCTTACATGATAGCCACCTTAAAGATTATTTGTTGCGTTTGAACATGTCAAAAAATCTAGCAGTACCTGATTGGAAGTGGTGTTATTGTGATGTACAAAAATCTTGTGTTACCTAATCGAAGTGATATTCTCGTAATGAACATTGCCACTGCTCTAATAGTTTAGGGATAATGGTGGAGAAAGGGGGTAGCTGAATGAAAAGGGAATCCAAAGGGTTTTAAGCTTTTAACTTTTTTACCGAGGTAATAAAGCTTTATTCTTTTTTCTTAGGATTAGGAATAATTTTCCCTAAAAAATGATAAGAAAAACGTATCAAGAAACATAAATAACATAGCCTCTAGATGATGTCTCCAGATGATGTAGCTACGAGAATTTTAGGTGGGGACAAAGATAAGAATCAGTTAAACACTAAACATAATATAAGTTTTCTAAGATTGCTTTGGAGGATCATGTTGATCACTTCCTAAACTAAGCAGTTAAAGTGGGCAAACCACCTGTGACTCATAACATAGAATATTGTGACAATAACAAAGGGAACAAGTGAACATAGCCAACAAACCACAATTTTGAAATCAATGTGAATTGACATAAGCATTGGGAAACTATAGTAGCTCATTATTAAATTACAAAATGCAAAATTATATTCATTCCAATGCTTTGGACACAAGCAAATGATAATTTGTCATCTATCTACAAAGTCAGAATCTACTTCCACCCAAAAACACTTCTGGAAAGATAAGCAAACCCAAAACTCAACACGTGTCAACTTGATCCATACCAAAAAAAACTTTATTGTAAACTAGACTTCTGGCACGTAGGGGTGGAAGTGAACCAAGTAATTAATAAACAACTTGACTATTATTCGTCTAGATTTGTGATCAGATTCGATTTGCAGTCCACCTAACAATAAATGAATAATTTTTAGTATTCGAGCCATAAATGAATAGAATTTAACCAAATGTATATTCAATTCGTATGATTATTAAATATTTATTTATATTTTATATTTATTAAATGGTAGATTAGACATTTTTTTTAAAAATTTAGTTAATTTTAGTTGAGGCATAAACTTGAATGAAAAGGCAATTTAGAAGAGAAATAAATGATTATGATGCTTTTGAGGATAGATTTGCAAATATATAATTTGGAGGGTGTTTATCCACAAATCTATGAAGAAATTATGGAAGGCAAAAAAGTTTATATCAAGAATTGAACCAAGGACTTGAGACTTCAAAGCAGTGTTTTAAATATCGGCCGACATGTCGGACATGTCGGCCGATATAGCGGATTGAGGGGTCCAACGACACAAATCGGGGAAAAACAAGTCGCATATCGTTTTTTACCGACATATCGGTCATATCGGCGAAAAATCGGCCATATCGGCCGATTTTCTTGTTTGGAAAATCGGCCATATCGGCCGATTTTCCTGTTTTTTCTTTTTTTCTTCTTCACACGTGAATGTTTGGTTTGTGGACTATTTTGATTAATAATAGGCTAATGATTACTTGATGTTTGATCACTTGATTAATAATAGGCTAACTGATTAATAATAGGCTAATGATTATTGATTAATAAGGAGAGATTTATTTTATTTTAAATGTGCATATGAATGTTGAAATGTGCAAAGTCATGAAGTTATGAATTTAGGAATGCTTAGATAGTTAGATTACATTTAGGGCATGATATTATACATATGTGGATCACCCGATATGGCAATCCGATATTTAGTCCATGTCCCCCGATATATCCCCGATTTCCGCTATCCGACATGGATTTCAGCCGTCCGACATGAACCCGACATCCGATATTTAAAACCTTGCTTCAAAGCCCAAACCACTAACCAACTAGGCTAGCGAATGTTTGCAAATATTTATCGACTTTTTAATTTAGAAACGAATCAAATATGAATAGCATTCTACAATTCGACCCAAATTCAAATATCATAAATCCGACCGGATTCGAACTTGAAGATGTAGATATTCGATTTGATTCGGTTGTTTTCTACCCCTACTGGCACGTCGAAGTACATTTAAACATAATTAACATTGATGTCAAATTTTAAACTTTACAGATGACATGTAAAAGATATTAACATTAATGTGATACCTACAGAAACCTTTTTTTGGGATATATTTGTCTACTACAAAGGCCCGTACAAGCAACACATCAAAACCAATGGTTTCAGCATAATTGTTTCTAAATAAACCAGTTAAAGAGGAAAACAATAAAAAATAACAAAACACTCACTAAGTTTGTGAAACCAATTGTTTTGACACAAGTCTTAATAGTATTAAAGACAGTATACTCAAACTCTCTCTTTTGAAAGTCAGCAACTGGTCTATCCAAACTCCATTAACTAGTTGAATGGTAAGCCACGTCTACTTGATCCGGGGGCGGGCACATAGTCAACCATGAAAGAAGAAGGGCGTTCAGATCCTTGAGGAAATTCGATTTAAGAACGGGAAAGATTTGATTATGAAGAGCATGAATTGATGCTGCATTTGCGATCAGGGCGGGGATAGTATGAATAGACTGTAGAAATGATAAAATTACAGTGATGGCCAAGTTTAGCCCAACCCTCTTTGAAAGGTCAAGGCAAACTTGGTTTACCAGCCGATAAACTCTTTCAAGGTCAAACAAAGGCGAATGCAGTGGAATGAGTTCAGAAATGAATACCGGTGGAACATTTTTGAGTTTTAAAAATGAAAACCCTAGAAATCGGATGTGAGAGACTGCTATATACATACATACATACATACATGTATTGTACATGTATACGCGCACACACAATAAGACCTAGATCTAGAGTGAACCATAACCATCCATTGAATAGTATACGGTTGTGATTAAAAGTAGGCTTAATAGCATTTAAATACCTTATAGTTTACCTGACGTTGTACTTATATACCTTGTCTTTCTTCTTGACATGTAAATATACCCTATAGTCTACATTACTTTGTACCTATATACCTTGTCTTTTTTCCTGACATGTAAATACCCTATAGTCTACATTACTTTGTATTTATATACCTATCAATAGTTAAATTCCTGTTTTTCTTTAAACTACCTTATTTTAGTTAAATGTTGTAATATTCTGCTAGAAGTTTTCATGTGATATGTACATGATAAAAGTTGATTAATTATCATTCCAAAATTGGTTGAATTAGAGTAAGAAACTAATTTTCAGGAAACTCTAAGTCAAAGTAAATAATAATGAAAGTGAGTTTTTTACTTGAAAATACCAATTTAAGGGGTATAGTTGATCAATTTTTATCATATACAAGCTATATGAAAATTATTAGAGATATTTTCAATATTTAATAATAATATTACAATGTTTAACTAAGAACATATAGTAAAGTGCTATTTTAGAAAACCATAAGTATATGATAAAAGATGAAGTATATAAATGCAAAGTGATTTAGAATGGATTGGAGATGCGTTCGTCAAGAAGGATCATCAAAGGCTCAAACGGGCCCTATCAAATGCTTTTACTTACAATGAATAACGTGTCGTATCTCCCAAAGCATACATCGAAATCATATGTGTGTGTATGAGAATATTAGAATATTGCCAATCTCAACGAGACGAAGCTATCCAGATCGACAGATTCTTGAAATTCCATCACCACTTGCTTTTACTTATTTTCATTATTTAGGAAAGGAAAACAAATTCAATCTTGATTCAATTTGGACTGATTTGTTTTATCTATTATAGGGAGACTTTTAAGGATGATTTTGTTATTTTATATTTTTGGTAAATTTCGGTTAAGGTTTGGAGTCTATCATGTTTTCTACTTAAGTGGAGGATTGTAAGCCATAGAAGCACATTTTTTTTTATAAATAAAAGTTCTATTATATCTTCTTCGTAGATTCTGGGTTTGTTTTTTTATGGATTCTTAGAACACCCCTTGGGGAATTTTGAGGTGACCATTTCCGCGCTGCAAAGCATATAACTAGAGGGTGCTCAAATGTCAAAAAAATATATAAGTGCAAAATTATGTAAACTCTAAGGTATTTAATGATATTTAGCCTTAAAAGTAAGGATCAAATTTAAATAAGATGCTAAGTTGGGACTGACAAAATAAAATAGGATTTTTTTAATATTAGTCTCCTAGATCTTTTATATTTTAAAATTAGTGTCTAGATCTTGATATTTTGAATTAGTCTCTAAACCTTTAAGTATTTTGAATCTAGTACCCCAAATCATGATATTTTGAAATTTGTTCCCCAAATGTTTTAAATATTTTGAAGTTAGTCCTTCTAGCTGAAAAATTTGGAGGACCGATTTTAAGATATGAAGATTTGGTGGATTAATTTCAAAACACTTGAAGATTTGGGATGTCAAGTCCTAAGCCCGTGAGCCCGTTGGCATGATGTAAGCTCTGGGATTCATAGAGATCAACTTGTTTGGCTTGATCCATTGCCAAAAGGTGATATCCTACATAGTCCCACTTTGGAGAAACTAAAGGACTATAAATGGTTTAAATAGTGAAGTCAAAGGGTTTAAGAGAAACTAGTGCTATCACTGTTTGGAAGAGGATAATCTTTTAAAAACGGCCCAATTTGATAAATATTTAGTAAAACCGACTATTTTGCTAAATATTTAGCAAAATCAACCTCTTTTTGACTGGTGAGCAGGCCAAAAAGAAGTCAATTTTGCTAAATATGAGTTTTAAAACACACGAGACTCATAGTCTCATGTGTTTAGTGGTTGCTAATCGTGGCCTAAATAAGAAATAGAAAACCCACAAGACTATTAGTCCCGTGAGTTTTTTGTTCACTAGTAAAGAGACTTTGGGTTGAAGCCGAGGGATTGCGGGAGGCAGGAGAAGGAGTGGCACGGCAACGTCGGGGGCCAGAGGACGGCGGTGTCCAATGACGAGGAGAAGGGTTCGTGGGGGTAAGCGGAGGGCTTGGAGGGAGTGGGGGCGAAGCATCGGCGGCGGGGGAGGGGGTGATAGCCGGGGACGAGGAGGGGCTTCTGGAGGGAGTAGGGTCGCGGGGGCAAGGGGAAGAAGTGGGAGGTAAAACATGAACGTGGAAGAGGTCAGAGTTGGTTGGAGCAGGCTGAGGCAATGGGGAGAGCTGCGAGCAGAGCCCAGGCTCGGGGCGGGGTGAGGCTTCTTTGAAGAATCTCTACTTGATAGGTGGGAGGTTGAGGAGAGGAAGGTGATGGTGGCACGAATGGTGGCAGAGTTTGGCGAGGAGGTGGTCGGGGACGACGAAGGGGGAGGTAGAGGAGGAGGCCAGTAAGGAAGAAGGAGAAAGAGAGCATGAGGAGGAGAGGTGGTAGAAGGAGAGGATGTTAGCGGCCACCATTGGCGAGCAAGAGCAAGAGGTTGAGGCCCATTCTCACTCTCATTCTCTCGTTGCCCATCATTAATTTTCTGTGAGGGAATAGAAAACCCACGGGATTATTAGTCTTGTGGTTTTTGTGTCTTGTTTAGACTGTGATTAGCGATCCCTAAATACATGAGAGTAGTAGTCCCGTGTATTTTAAAACTCATATTTTCCAAAATCGGCTTCTTTTTTGTCAACTCTGCAAAATCGACCTCTTTTTGGTCAGGCTTGGTGAGCTAGTCAAAAAGAGGTCGATTTTGCTAAATATTTAGCAAAACAATTGTTTTTGCTAAATATTTGTCAAAATGGATTTTTTCAAAAAATTCTCCTTTGGAAGTGGATTGTGAGCCAAATAATGACTTGCTCTCAGTAGGACCCTCATGCTTACATCATCTACTGGGCTTGTGGGTTCAGGGTGTGAATTGATATCAGAGCAGGTTGCCAGACGATAGTGTGGAGCTAAGTACTATGGGTACTATGTGTTACACCACGTGAGTGCAGTGGGAGCTAACTCTAGAGCTAATAGGAGCCACCACATTGCCTGGCGATAAATCTAGGATGTGATAATTTTCATGCCGTGACACAAGACATTGCGAATTAAAGGTGGGGTTATTGTGATATTCCTAATGATACTATTTTAGGAAACTAAAAGGAATTTGAATGGTTTAAATAGTGAAGTCAAAGGGTTTTGGAGCAACTAGTGCTAGCTTGTTTGGCACTGGATTGAGCCAAGCAATAGATTGATCTCAGTGGGTCCCACGGGTTAAATCGTGCCAATGTGCTCGCAGGTTCGGGGCGTGGTATGGGAAGTGATTTCAAAACATGGGGACTAATTTCAAAATACGAGGACTAATTTCAAAATATGAAAGATTTGGGTGACAAATACTTAGAAAACTAAAAATAATCCATTGCTTTTTTATTTTTGTTATATACTTATGTACTAAGGTTATGGAAGGTGAATGGTGGATAGTTACAATTCATCTCCCATAACTTAGTATATGTGAAAATTATCTAGAAAATTTAAGGGGTTTTCGATAGATACCCCTCAAATTGTATATACTTTTAAATTTGTCCCTGAAATCACTGTAATTGCCGATTTGCCCTCTAAATTATATCCGTTTTTACTTTTTCCCTCCAACTTAGCTGGCATCGGATCTGTTTGGAATATTTCGTTAGCTTAATTAAGATTTAAAAAAATATATCTAATCTACCTTTTGCCCTTTATTAGTAAATTAATTCCAACTAAGTACTAGGAGTACAATCCCTAGCTCCCACGCCTACCTTTGCCTCGACCAAGCTCTCCTCATTGCAGTCCATGCTTTATAAAATTTTTGGGAACACTTATTTAAGTTGTACAGATAATTGTTCAATTATTATTTATGTTGTAGCAATAAACTAATCTATTTATGTTATATCGTATAAAAACAGTATTATAGCATTTCTAAATTGTATGCCATTCGTTAGAATGATATCTCATGTACTTAATTGTTGTAGAGTTTCCATTCTTGACTGTTAATCAAGAACATGAAAAAATAAAGTACCAACAGTGTATTTAATTGTTGTTGAACTAACTGGGTTTTTTTTTTTACTGTTAATCGTTCTGAACATTGTATTTAATCGTTGATCAACTATCTGGGTTCTTGACTGTTAATCATGATGTTAATATTACAGCCGTGCTTTGCACCGGATTAAAGACTAGTTTATTAGATATCAAGATCTGAATGATCTGAGAATAACGAACAATATATAGGAAACAACTTTACCCTAATATATGTCATCCATAGTTAAACTTATCCACTTGTTATTCTCACATTTTCATTCTCGATGGTTTCTAATAACAATGCAGAGGTTACATGGGGCCAAAACTTACAAGCAACATTGAGTGTGAAATATTCGAAGTGCTACTAGAGGAGGCAGAGGAGAGTTACCCTGAAGGAATTGTAATGGCATTGCAGAGTGACACTGTTGAAGACATAAGCAGGAACGTCACTGTTCTGACTGAGTGGGAAAGTAACTGGAGGCGCAGACCCTCGTCTTGAAAGTGTTAGGTTGATAAACTTGTTAAATTTATGATGCTTCCTACATTAGCGGTGGAAAGAAATTGTAGAATAATTGTTGGTAATGAAGGGAGGAGGTGCCAAAATAAAACCAAGGGGATCAACTGTCAAGAGTGGAGAACGCAGTTTTTGTTTTGTACGGTACATTTTGAGTGGTATATTAGCATTGTGATCAGCTGTATGGAGTTTAGACTTACAATGAGTTGGTTCTGCTTAATGATTTGATTATTTCCAAATTGCTCGCAGAATGATGGTTTTATTGAACAATTTTTATCGCAGCATCAGATATTTTCTTTTATTTCAGGAATGTGGTTGGCCGAAGATTACCGTAGCAAGTGGTGGTTGATTGAGTTGGCTTATACTCTTGATTGTTTTGTTTTAGTAAATACTATGCAAATATCCATGTTGGAAATGGAAGGTTCTAAGTGTAACATGGGTGGAGCTACTAGAGATGCAAGGCGAGCTTCTAGAAGTGCAAATGGGATGATAGCGTACGATTCACTTCCTACTTTAACAGTTGACCTAAGTCAGAGTGATTGTGAAAAGTGGTGACTTTAATTGATAGAAATCGATTTGTTGTCTACGTCCTTTGCCCCCACTTCACTTTAGCAAATGTTCTAGGCGTCTAATGAATATAGACCCCTCAAATCTTATTTATTTCTATATTGGGTTCACAATTCCTATTCTTAACTTACTAATTCTTTAAAAATTATTTGTATCAGCAATCAGGTCATGTTTCAGTGTTGCATTTTCTGTTCACATTACCGATGTTGATCAACTATATTCATATATGTGCCGTCCAACAGTAGCTGGAACAATTGCTATAAATAAAGAAAACCCTCAAAAAACCAGTAGCAGCAACATATAATGTAATAGAACCTGACTCATAACTATATGAAATCCTAAACAAAATATTTTCTTGACTTTCAAAAACATTGCCAAAAATCTATTGCCCAAAGGCTGTAAAAAGGCCACCCTGTGATCCGTACAAATTTACCATGCTAAAAATTCAATCATCTCTCTTTTTCCTCATCTCAGAACAAATATCATAATATTCCGTTTAAAAGCTCAGAGAAAACAATCCATATGGATCCTCCCTCCACCTTGAAAATGATTCTAAACTGAAGATCAATATGGTTGGTACCGACGCCCACGACTACCATCGTTATTTTGCCGACCACCATTGGAGCTGCCCCTGCGACTAACACTCCGATGATCTGAGGGTCGAGGCTGCTGCCTGTATATTATGTGATACAGAATGTTACACTTATGGGAATTCTGTTGTGCAGGTTTTTCCCAATAAAATTAAAGTTAAATATATATAGAAGACTGTAACAGCCTGAGTTATGCATTTACCTAGAAAAAGTTTAACATAAAGGAAAAAGGGCAAAGACTTACATGACATATCCAAGGCGGCCATCAGGCAATATCATTGGAACCATTGCAACTCCTGGGTTTCCATATACCATAGGCTGAAAAGCGAGCAACAAAATCAATATGAAGGGGGGAAAGAGAAAATAGATGTCAGGAATATTCCTCTCCATTTTAGAATATTTAAATATTTTAAGAATGCTCACGTTTCACTCAGTTTCAAGTTTCCTGTTGGTTCATCATGATTTAGGACTTTTTAGAATCAGATATCAGCCGTGATGAACAATAAGATTAGAACAATGATGGCAACCATCAGGCCGATTTGGAAAGAGCAGAACCAACAAAAAATCATCAATGGAGTAGTTAGCTCTAACATAAATCATCTAGTACTTAACAGAACATGGTGAATTTAGGGTACACATTCTGATAGAGGAGTATATTTTCATGGTTTCCTTGTATATCTCTAATATCAAGCTATATCTTTGCAAACATCCTATGCGATCTTCTCTTTCTTCTAACAAAATGGGTTAATGGGGCCCTCTTTACCCGGAAGAACAAAATCAACAAACAACAGAGGATGCATCATTTATTTATAGAAACGATTCTTATTACCTGTCGATAAGCTGCAGGCAGAGTGCTATAAGTACCTCCAATCAGGCCATATCCTAATGGATAATTTGGTAATAGAGGTCCTTTTAGTGCGTTCGATCCTGTATTAGCACTTTGCCGTTCGGATGCTGGAGGCTTTGCAAGGGAACAATCAAGAACTTGACCTATTTCAGGAGAAAGAGATTAAACAATGAGCAAACATTTATCTTGGGGGGGGGGGGGGGGGCGGGGGGGGGGGGGGGGGGGGGGTAACATTAAAAAAAAGGTTTTTTGAACTGACTACCACTCTAGCTTTATTTTACAGATAGACATTCAGATTTTTTTTTTTACATTGAGAAAGAAATTTGTTTTCTCAACAGATATGCCCCCGAAGGTAAAAGAGTAAAAAAATTCACTCATAGGCTCTATCTGCAAAAATAAAAGTAGAGGCCTTTAGGCGGGTGGGGGGGGGGGTACGTAAAAGAACGATATTATAGAGGGCCTATCCACAATTAACCCTACAAAAAAATGATGATGAGAATCACCATCAATTTCATATCTCTCAGTGTTCTTGAGTGCCTTCATGACTGATGATCTCTCCTCAAAATGCACAAAACCAATTCTGTTTTCCTGTCCAGCCTTTGCAGGAGGGAGAACAACTTTTGTAATTCTTCCATGGTGTTCAAACAGCCTTCTCAACTGATCTTGTGTAACGTTCTTAGGCAAGTGTTTTACATAAACAGATTTAACCTATAAAAGGTAAATTATGAAGACAGACGTCCACAAAGCATGCCAAAAATAAATGATAGAGTCTAGCCAAAGATAGTAAAAGAAACTTCACAAAACCCCCAAGAAGTTTGGCCCATTCTGTATAACCCCAAAAAGTTTGGAAATGTCACTTAAACCCCAAAACTTTTGCATTTTTCTGACTCTGTTTGCAGATAACCCTCAACCTTTTGGGGTTATCTGAAAAAGTATCAAGGGTAAGTGATACTTCCAAAATCCAAACTGTTTGGGAATGAGCTCAAATGAGCCAAACTTCTTGGGGGTGTTTGTGAAATTTACCCAAAGATATACGAAAAACCTGAAAACTTGAAGCAGAATTGCCACTCCTAGGGTCAGCCCAGCTTACAGTAGGGGTTCTGTCATCTAACTTAAAATCTGAACTGGACATCTTCTTTCTTGAATATTCAGCACATGCACCGTTGTAGTACTCAATAAATGCAAAACCTCGATTGCAGCTAGAATTTTGAGGATCCTTTAAGAAGAAACCGAGAAACAATATGAATAAAGCACAAAGAGCATAAAGTTTATTTCCCAAGAAATAGTCACGACTCACAAGTATATACTATTCTGTTGTCGCATGCAAATTTTTGTGTCTACATTTTTGTATGGGCAGAGGGTGAGGCAGCGGATGTTACCTTCATTAATTGCACAGCAGTAACACCAGGCCCGACATTTGACACAGTCGTTTTCATATCTTTTTCTGTCCAGTTCTTAGGAACATTACCAATGAATAGCCGGTGCTTCTTTTGAGCTGTTGAGCACTTAATCTTTTTCCCCTGACAAAAGTTGACACCCACATTTAATCAGTGAAGACTACGCAGAATCTAACACCCCCCAAACCACGCCCCCACCCCAAAAAAAAAAGAAGAAATCCACCATCAGGATCACGACCCTTTAGCCCCTAGAACAGTCTTAATTGCTCGCAATTGACTGTTAAGAGTCTAACAACACGTAATACTTTGTCTCAAGAAGAAAGCAAAAGGCTGAGAAGAGGGGGGAAAAAAGGCTGGTTTCACAATTTGAGCTGCAATTCATGCTAAACTTCAGCTATTTAGATACAAAAGACTGATTTGTTTTTATATCAAAGGTGAAATAGATATAAGGATACATTCATGTGTAAAACTATATCCACCTTAGATAACGTTTCAGAAAGATTTCACATCAATCCAATGTTATCATCTTTCAAAGGAATTACATGTTTGCATTTTACCACCTAGTTCATCTGTTTAAGGTATAATTGACAAAAAAAAAAAACCGATTAACATTCGTTTGCCTAATATAATAGCCTTCCTGCCTTTCATAACAAAATTCACAAACATAGGTATGCGTAACAGTATATAGAGAACAAGTGACTTACCTTAAATTCAGTATTGTTCAGATCTTCAGTAGCTTTTTCGGCTAGCTCTTTTGTAAGGTAAGTAACAAAAGCATAACCCTTGTTCTCTGAAGAACCTTTGTCTTTTATCAACCGGACCTGTATCACCAGAAAACATGCATTTACCGATTTCAAAATATAGTAACAGATGGGGCCGGAAAAAAGAAATGACTTACCTCAACAACTTCTCCAACTGATTTACAAAAATTCTTCAGATCTTCTTCAGATGCATCACTAGGAATTCCACCCACATAAATTTCAGACCCATGAGGAGGAAGCGCAAGAAGTTCAGCATGCTTTACGCTCTCATCCTCATCCTTCTCATCAACTTTCATAGCATCAGCATGGTTTGCATTATCAAGAGTCTCTTCTTCATCCACTTCTTCCTCTACTACTACTACCTCTTCTATCTCTTCTTCTTCCTCGACTTCCTCCTCAACTTCCTCATACTCAACCTCTTCTTCCATTTCATCAGCAGCTTCATTAAGGTCCAATTTTCTCTCTCTTTCAGCAGGCTTTGAAGATTCAGTTGGCTTCATGGGTTTACTCACCATTTTATGTATCTCAGACTATCTTGTAGGGCAACTGTGAAGAAGGCACAGAGGCCTGAAATTTTGCAGATACACC